GACATACTGTATGGTGTTGGTGATTAATACACGACATCATTTACCACACCGAAATCCCATGAAAAATATGAGCTCCAGAACAAGTGATTTTGATCTCTTCTTTGCTGTGAGAGGGGACAAGGCAGAACAACAAGGAATGTCAGGGGTATATTATTGGCCTAACAGAAAAGGAAAAAAGTCCTTTAAAAGAAAAACCTCATACAGGCCAGTCTAAAGCAAATGCAGGCAGGGAGCTTTGGAGGACACCTCATCTTCTGACAGTGACTGAGTTCCCTAATGCCCCTCTATGCAAGGACTGTGCTCATCTAACTCATCTCCGTGCAGGGTGGCACCATCTGGGCTCCCCTATATGGGAGTGAACCCCCGGAGCCAACCTGCATGGCCGCAGCAGCTCCACAAGCACACAGCGCCTGTATGGGTCAGGCCTCAGTGACTGCATCCAAACGAGAACCAGGGTGCCTGTAGCCAAAATAAATGTCTGCACAGGATGCTGCTGCGGGACCAAGAGAATATAAACCTTCAATGCAACAACCACAACGGAGTCATGGAGAAATGCCTCCCCTTCCATCTAGCTACTCGGTTGCAAGTGAATGGCTTGAAAACGACTCTCGCTTCACAGAAAGGATCTAGCAAGAAGCAGCAAGGCTTTCCTTTTGGATGCAGCGCAGCGGCAATGTCCTGCGCTCTGCAGTGCTCCTCACCGCTCTTTCCCAGGCTCGTGCTGCGATACGGAAACACGCTTCAACTGAGCCGGTTTTGGCACCTGAGCACTGGCTGGGGGGGATCCGTCTTTCAAACTAAAAGCGCCTCATTCCCCCGTAGCTGCAGTCCCATCTCATTGTGCGCTCAGGGAGAACAGGCAGCCGAGCAAGAGTTTCCCTCTCCTCTTTGGAGCTGGGGTGCGTGTAAGGAAAGGGCAAGGCCAGAGGGAACAGGCACAAATTCCCTCTCACATAGTAAGCATCAGAACTGTGGTCAGCCCCAGGCAGCAGAGCAGCACCCCTGTACAGAGCTTTTTGACAGCATTAATGAACATTAATGAGGACAGGAGTGACAGGGAGTGACAGAGAGTGACTGGTTTTAGAAGTGGCTTCTGATGGACTCAAAACCAGATGAGCTCCGGTAGGCTCCTGGGGTAATGACCCAAACTGTCCCTTTGCCCAGGCTACCCCAGAACTGCCAAGGGAGCTCTGTGCTCTGGGGCTGGGTGGGGGTCCCAGAAACCTCGCAGCCCCAAACCGAGGGCCACACAGTGCAGCTGCACTGCAGGAGAGCACAGACTCCTCACTGCAGACTCATGAGCAGTTGCCATGGTGGGGGGGGGGGGGGAAGTTAAAAAATGAGAAAAAAGGTTAAAAAGAGGGAGAAAGAGAGAACCCCACCGGCTGTGTGCTGGGGGAGAATGGCTGACAGTTTTATTTCTGAGAATTTCCCTGTGCGTGATCTCCACATTGGGATCTGCAGGCAAGTGACCCCATAAAACCAGCCTGAAATCCCCATGGCAAATAACGTGAGCCAAGGCTGGCAAGCGGGAGCCAGTGGGGGTGCGATGGGTGCAGGAGCCCAGTCCTGCTCCCCTGTCCCCGTGGAGTCCTACGTACAGCCGCGGGCTCCCCTCTGCGGGGTCAGGCAGCCCACAGAGCCCCACAAGCTCCAGCATTCCCACCCCAAGTGCCTCACTGCCTGTTAGCGAGGAAACAATTGTTGTTCATGAGGGTTGTGCTGGTTGGAGTAATAATTACTTATCATTGGATGCTTCCTTCCTCAGGGTGTCTAACTCTCTTCTTTCATTCGTTCACTTTCTTTATCTCTCTTTTGTTCTTTTGTTCCCTCTCTCTTTCACTCTTACTCTTTATTTATGCATTTATTTCCCTCTTCTCTTCTCTTCTCTTCTCTTCTCTTCTCTTCTCTTCTCTTCTCTTCTCTTCTCTTCTCTTCTCTTCTCTTCTCTTCTCTTCTCTTCTCTTCTCTTCTCTTCTCTTCTCTTCTCTTCTCTCCTCTCCTCTCCTCTCCTCTCCTCTCCTCTCCTCTCCTCTCCTCTCCTCTCCTCTCCTCTCCTCTCCTCTCCTCTCCTCTCCTCTCCTCTCCTCTCCTCTCCTCTCCTCTCCTCTCCTCTCCTCTCCTCTCCTCTCCTCTCCTCTCCTCTCCTCTCCTCTCCTCTCCTTTATTCTTTATCTCTCTCCCCCCTAACATTCCCTCCTTTCCCTGCCGCGAACCCCAAACGCGCTCACCGGCGGAGCACAGAGCGGCTGCCTTGCGGTGTCGCGGACCTCGTCAGCGGCGGCCAGGGCCTCAGTCGCTCCCAGCGCGGCCTCGGGTCCCACGTCCCGGCCACCCTGTGTCGCTCCCGCCGCCGCAGGGGGACGAGCCGTGCCACGGGGGCCGCGCACCTGCCTCTCCGGCGCCGGACGGGACGGCTCAGATCCCGCGCAGCAGCGGCGGCGGGGCCGGTCCGGGGCAGTGCCACCGGCGGCCGTCTCTCGGCCGTCCCGGCGGTCGGAGGGGAGCGGCTCGGGGCGGCCGCGGGGGTTCTGGAGAATGTGCAACGGGGGCGAGTGGAGCTGGGGCGCCCCGGGGAAAGCAGCGAGCTGCAGGGGCGAGCGAGCCCCGGGGAGCGCCGGTGGGACCCGCGGGGCCCCGCGCAGGGCCGCCGGATGGCACCGAGCCATGGTGACAGCACCCCCGGCCAGACCGCTCCCGGTGCGGGGATGCGGGTGGGCAAAGCGACTCTGGCCGAACGCAGTGCCCCGCGCCGCTCTCCTCGATCTGCTTTTCGTATGTGGGTCCTTATCGGTGTGCCCGTCTTTGCGATGCCTTTTCCTAACTCTCTTTTTCTTTTTGCTTTCTCTTTATATCTTTGTCTTTTTTCTTTCTTCCTCTTTCCATTATTTTCCTTCTTTTTATTTCCATTTTTCCTAATCTTTTTTCTCTTTCCTTTCTTTCTTACTTTTCTTCCCTGTCTTTCGCTCTGTTTCTTTATTTTTGTTTCTTTCTTTGTTTCTTCTATCTTTCTGTCTATCTTGCCTTGCTTTCTGTCTTTCTGGGTGATACTTGGTTAACACATTTGACTTGAGGATTTGTTAGATGGATTCGTTAATTTCAGTTCCTATAGTTCAAACTCCAGTTGAAAATAATACTAATAGTCGCTGTAGTCGTGGTAATAACGATCATGACTGTAATTCTAATAACACTAGTCACTGATAACGGTTTCAAATTAAACGCCAGAAAATCCCCGTTTTTTCCCGGGACCCGCGGGAATTACAGGCTTTTTTTTTTTTTTCACCTGCCGAGATGTTCCTGTCTCCTCTTTATCTCCCCGCCTACAACGAATTCGTAAATATCTGCGACTCCCGTTAGCGAAACCTCTTCGATTTGTTACTGCTTAGCCTGCAGCACCGCTACCGGCAGCGCCAGCTTTTCCCGTACCGTTCTTTGATATCACTCGCAGCGCACGGGCGGTGCTGCCGCGTCGGGCAGGGAAGCCGGGAGACTCGGGGAGCCCCGCCGCCGGGCTGCTCATCTGGGAGGAGTGCGGAGAAATGATAATGTGCGGACGCGTGCGGTGCCGCTGCCCCGACGCTGCGTGGCCCCAGCCCCGGCTCGCTGCCGCTGTCCCCCCGCGGCTCAGCGGGGAGCTGGGGTTGCCGTGCCAAGCCCGAGCCAGGCCGTGAGGGGCCGCCCCCCTTTCCCCTGCAGAGTCCGCGCCCACCTCCCTACCCCCCCGCAAGCCGGGCTCGCCGGGGGCCCGTCGGGTCGCAGGGGTTGGGGGGCGGGAGGGACGGGGGAGCGGGCAGAAAGGAGGGATCGCGGGAGGAACGTAGAGGAGAGATGCGGGCGGAGGGGTGAGTGTGAAGGGCAGAGAGGGAGAAGGCGGCGGGCGGTGGGGCCGTGTGCCAGCCGGTCCCCGGGGCCGCGGCGCCAGCCCGTCGGGGCCGCGGCGCATCTGCAGTATAGCCCGAGCGCAGGGTGGCGGGGGAACCGGGCCTGGGGGGCCTGGGCACCTCCGCAGCAAAAAAAAAAACGTGGCTCAGTGGAAACGCGACCGTCAGCGCCTGGGGGCACCTGTCCCGGCCCGTGGGGAGAGGTGCCGGCGGGGAAGCCCCTGAGAGGGAGGACGAAGGCAGCAGCCCACGGGGTCCGCCTCGCCTGAAAGGTCTGGGGGATTGCAAGGTGCGGAGCCCAAAGAGAGGAGGGGGCGGCAGCAGATACCTGCTGCGTGGCGAAGCCTCGCCGGGGTCGGGGGAGGTAGTGGAGCGGCAGGGCAGAGGCGTTGCTAGGGCTCCAGGGGCTGGGGGCTGCCGTCGGGGAGTGGGCGGCATTGCAACACGTTGCTTTTTCTGCTGCCGCCACAGGCTTTTGCACCACCGGCGTCTGAGCGTTTCGGGGTGAAGCAGTTGTGTGTCCGCAGAGAGGGGAGGAGGGGTCCTGCCCTTCTTCCCTGTCGAGCTCTTGGAGTTTCCGCAGAGCAGAGCCGTTCCCAGCGGAGAAGCGGCGGGGCAACCTCGACCTTCCCTCTCACCTGCTCGGCCGAGGTGTGAGGAGCACCCCGGGGGAGCAGAACGCCCCCCTTGCCCTCTCCCTGGTGCCCTTCCTACAGTTGCCGGGCTCTATCAATTTCCCTCCAGGGCCCCGGGACGGCTGCAGAGCCCTGGACAGACCCTCGCTAACGGCGGGGTTAGCAGCCCCTCATCGAGGCTGGATGCGCTTTGCAGGGCTCCGGCGATGCTGAACGAACGGGGAAGGAGACAGTGCCCGCTGGACGAGACGCCTGGCAAAGGCGGCCTCTGGTTTTTGGCCCTTTTGGCGTGCAGGAGAGGGGATAACGCCGTTTACAGCACTGCGCCGTGCCACCCGCTCCCTCGGCTTTGCTCTGCCGCTGTCGGGTTCCCCCGTCGCGGGGGAGCCAGGGCTGGTTTCGCTCTCCTGTCGTCTGTTTGGCGCTGCTCACTCGTGGGGATGCGGGAGCGGGCCGGCGGGGTCTCAGGGGTCATGGGGCCCGAGGGCCGGCTGGCAACGATTCCCGGAGACCACTAAGTCGCGACCCCGCTGGCCAGGCCAAGGGGCTCGTCCGTGCCCGGGCTGTCCTCGACGTAGTGCTGTTTCCAGCTGGGGCTTTGCCTAAGGAGCAGGGAAGGAGAAAGGGATAAAGCTAGGAAACGGTGCGGGCAAGAAAGTGAAGGGCTACAACCTCGACTCTGCTGGGGTGCTGCATTCGGGGTTTTTTCTTAATTTTCAAGGAAGGGGAAATTTTGTTTCCTCCTGGGGCAGAGGCTGCCCAGAACCGGGCACAACTCTGGGAAGGGGCTGGTGCCTGTTCTCATTAGCCCTTGAACTCCCTGAGGCGGCTTGCAACTCGCGCCAGCGGCTCTTCGCTTTCCTCCGATATTGCCCCGAGGTCTCCTAACGAAATCCCTTCCCCTCCTCCCTATATTGCCCCCAGGTAAGCAGCGTAGGTCATCACTGGGACACTCTTCTGTTTGGCATGTCCCTGAGCTCAGGGTAGAAAATGCCCCGGCCGGGAACCCCGCTGCCAGCAACAGCAGAGAAACAAAACACCGATCGTGTCACGCTCTGCCCTTATGCCGTTAGCTGCAAGAACATATGCTCAAATATGTAAGAGTAGTCTAGATTTTTCTCTGCAAATATTTTTACCACATCCAAAGATAATATTTCAACAGAAGAATCAAGCCCCGCAGGCTACAGACAGGGCAGCTATATATAACCCGCTTGCTCACTCCGGCTCTCCGCGCATCGCTCGGGTTATGCAACCCCCATCGCGGCGGTAGCCACCGGCGCGCCCCACGGCTCCGCCCGCCCCATCGGGGCATATCCCCCGGGACCTCGGTGTAGCTCCCTGCCCGGAGGGACCGGCATCGGGACTGGGACCGGCACCGGGACTGGGACCGGCACCGGGACTGGGACCGGGGCCGGCCCGGCCCGGCAGGGCTCGCCCAGCGCCGATGTGGAGGAAGGGCCCGCTGGACGCCGCAGCGCTCCGAAGGGTCGGTGCCGGGCGGTGAGTAGCACCTCACCCTCGCCAGGACAGGGCGGGGAACAGGGAAAGCCGTACACGGTAGCCAGGGGAGAGCGGCCCCCGGTCCAGGCGGGCCGTGCAGGTGCTGCCGGCAGAGAGGGCTCTCACGCCGGGCCGGGCAAACCCTCGCCGGCCGCCCCGCCGTTGCTTTCCGTTTTCTCCGCTTTTTTTGGCGAAGAAAATGCTCGAACGCCCGCGGGTGCTTTGGTGGTTTGGTGGCTCGGGACTGGAGGGTCACATCCTGCCCCGGCGAGACGGCACCTGCGCCCGCAGCGCGCCCCGACGTGCCCGGCGCTGCGGCCGCTCGCACTGCGAGTCCCAGGGCCGAGCCGGGGCAGCCTGCGGCACGGTGGTGCATAAGGGCTGGAGGAAGGGAGCAATCCTCCCTCTCGGTGCCGGACATCTGCAGCGTGACTCCGGGCTCGGATCGGATCGGCTGGGCTCGGCTCTTCCCTTCCCGTCGGCCGATTCCCGGTGCCGTGATTGACACCACCGACCCCTCCGCCCGCCCCGAAGCACATCCCATCCCTCCCCGCCGGCAGCTCGCCGTGCCCGGGAGGCGGGGAAGGGCCTCCCCAGCCCTTTGACACCGTCTCGGCAGGAGTTTCACTTCGCTTTCGCCGCTGCCGCCGCCGCTTCTGCAGGCAAACACCCCCGGCTTCCATGTGACGCCTCCCAGCCACTGAATGGGGGAAAGCGCCTATAAGGGAGACACTTTCCCTACGTGCTGGAGAAAAGGAGGGGACGGGGGGGCAGAAGCAGGAGGCTGTGGCTAGGGAGAAGGAAAAATAGAAAAATAAATTAATAAATCGCAGGGAACGAAGTTGAGGGGAGAGAAATCGGGACCCTGGGGAAGAAATTCGTGGGGATATTTATTTATTCACCCCCCTACCCGGACCCCTCTCCCTGACAGGGATCGATCCCGCCGTTGCGGTGCTCGGTGCTGGCTGCAAAGGGGCCCGGGGAAGTTTCTTGCTTCCCAACGCCCTTCACGGGGGGGGACACTGAGGCTTTAGGTTGTTTTCTGGTGTGGGTTTTTGGTTGTTTTGGGTTTTTTTTAAGGTTCCCTCCCCCCTCGTCTGGAAGGAGGGGGGTCTCTCTCGCACCTCCCTGGATGGTGTGGTAGAAAGGAGGGGAGTGAGGTGGTGGGAGGGGGGGCTCGTGGTGGGAGGCTGTCGCGGCTGCTGCTCCTGCATTGGTGTCTCCCCTATGGACGAAAACAGCCCTCTGTCTCCCAAGGCAAATGCTTTCAGTATCGCCTCTCTGATTTCAGTCGCCGCCGCCGCCGAGCAAGCAGGGAAGGGAGCGCTGGAGGAGCGGCGCGGCGGCCGCAGCGCGCCCGCCCGCCCCGGCTGCCGCCCGCAGAAGATGCACTTCAGCACCGTCACCAGGGACATGGAAGGTGAGCGCTGCGCTCGGCCCCCCATGGCCGTGGGTCGGGATCCCAGCCACTGCGTCCCGGGGTGTTTCTACGCGTCCCGGCCCCGCGGCCGGGCCAAGGGGAATGCACAGAGCGCGGCCTGTCCGCGAAGCCGGCCAGGGGGGTTTTGCCGGGCCCCCTCAGCCTTCCTATGGAGAAAGAGGCTCTGCCCGTACCCCAGTGGTGGCTTCCGACGGCTCTGCCGCTTGGATCCGCGTCTCCTTGGAGGTTCTGGAGCATCTCCCGACTGTGCCGGCCGTGCCCAGGGCAGCGGCGGCCCGGGGCTCGGCTTCCGCCGGCTCTGTAGCCGCTGTCTGACCTGGGAACTTCAGCGGAAATAACTCGAGAGACCCCCAGGACCTCGAGAAGCCCTTCAGCATCGGAGGGGATCCGAAGGAACCGTCCGATCCCCGGGACGGCCTGTCATGCGCCGCAGGGCCCGCTCGAGCAGGAGCCCAAGGGCTGCTCGGCTGGGGCCGTTCCGGCGCCCCTTAACGCGGACCCGGAGCTTTGCTCTGGTCCCCGACTGTTCCCCCTCTCTCGCCCGGGGATGGAAATAAGGGGGGGAATTGCCACTCGAGGTCTACCTGTTCCCTGTCAGCCGTGGCCCCAGAGCGAGGGACGTTACCTTCAGCACGGCAGCTACAAGGAAATAAGAACCGGTTTCTGTCTTTGAGTTCCCCCCTCCTCCTCTTTTTTGTTTTTTTTTTTTTTTTTTGGCGGGGGGGAGGATGTTAGGGGAGAAGCCGTGTCCGGGGAAGTTTGCTTTGTCCCAAACCGTGTGCAGCAAGGGAGGCCTTCTGCAGAGATCGCACGGGCTCTGCACCGCCGCGGCTCTTGGCAGATCCCTGGGGTTTGCAAAGGGGAAAAAAGAAGAAAAAAAAAAAAGAAGAGCCGAGGCAGGCAGCGGGAGCAGTGAGCTCCCCGCCTGCCCCGGGGGGAGCGGGGCTGGGGCCAAGCAAAGCGGAAAGGGGGAGGCGCCCCGCTGGGCTGGGCGCGGGGCAGGAGAGGAGGCGGAGGGCACCCCGCGGAGCCGGCCGGAGGCGGAGGCCGCACGGAGCTGCGCGGAGCTGGGGGGGGGAAGCGGGAGCCGGAGCGGAGCCCTGACCGCCTGTTTTTGGAATGATTTCAGCTATCTCCAGCCCCTGGCTCACCCAGCTGTCCCATTTTTGCGATGTTGCAGCTTTCACGGCCAACAGCCTGAGCAGCCTGAACGCCTCCGGGGGGTACCACCTCTCCCCTTCCCCGGGGGACCCGTACGGACAGCATGAGCCGCCGCACTACGAACCCTGCACGGCTCAGCAGCATCCGCACCCGCCGCCACAGCCCCAGCACGGCTACCCTTTCGGCGGGGCGGCGGCGGCGGCAGCGGGGGCCAATCCGCCGCCCCCAGGCCCCGAGCCGCCCGAGGGCGCCGGGGGAGCCGCCGCGGGGCCAGCCGCCGTCTCGGGCTGCTCCGCGGGGTCGGCCGCCGCAGCCAAGGCGCCGGTGAAGAAGAACCCGAAGGTGGCCAACGTGAGCGTCCAGTTGGAGATGAAGGCGCTGTGGGACGAGTTCAACCAACTGGGCACCGAGATGATCGTCACCAAGGCCGGCAGGTCAGTGCGGAGCCTCTGAGCAGCCCGGTTCTCCCCCCGCTCCCTCCGGCCCCGGGCACCCTGGCACGCCGGGGCGGTTGAATTCGCGGTTCGGGGGAAAATCGAGGCTGGACAAGGGCGAGCTGCGGCCCGGCGGTTGCAGTCATTTTATCCTAGCGCTTCTCCCGGGGCGAAATCTGCGAGCTCTTGCGGCCCGAAGGCCTTGGGTGCTGCGGGGAGGAACGCGCGGCTCCTGCAGGCTGGAGGCGAAGGTGTGCGTGAGGCAGCCCGGTTCGGGGAGCCGCGGCGTGAGCTCCGCCGCTGACTTTCACATCCGCTGGAAAGGGCGCTGTGCTCCTCCGGGAGCTTTCGGTTACCCCACACGGGACTTAGATCCGTGTTTGCGGAGAACGCTGTGCTCCCGGGGCGGAAAGCGACGGCACGGGGCGGGGAGGAAAAGTCAACAAACCAACCCGTGCGGTACCTGTAACTTAAATTTTTTAGCACGGGCAGAGCTTTTCCCGCCGGCGGGGAAGCAAACAGACCCTCATTCTGCACCTTGAAACGTCTTCCAGGACTGTTGCATTTCCCAGCTCTTCCGTAACGAGCCCGGCTGTGCTCGGCTCTCCTCGGCCCTGCTCCGGACGCTCGGCTCTGCGGGCCGGGACCCCGCTCCCGGCCAGGGAACAAAGGGAGCGGTCGATGCGATCGCGTTAGAAACCAGCAAAACTTGTGGGGGAGAGGAGAAGTCCCAATCACGGTTGTTTATTACTGCATTTAGCTGCAGTCTCCGGGAAGCACCGTGGCCGCGCCTGCTTGGGAAAAGCTGCGGAGCTTTCCCCGCGCGGGCTCCGGGCAAACGCTGCCTTAGGGGGGAGCAAGCGCATTGCTCGGGCTCGGGTCTTCCCTTGGTTTAAAATGATCCGGCGAGGGGGAAAGAAAAGAAAACCAAACAAACTATCAAACCCCGCGGTGCCGGCTCGCACTGAGCCGCAGGGCTGGCAGCAGTGGGAGACCCGGGCGCTGCTGCAGGTCCGAGGTCCGCCGCCGGGGAGAAGGGCGCAGCGCTGCCGGTTGGGCTCCCCTCCGAAAGGGCCCAGCGCAAGCGGTGACCGCCGCAGTGCGCTCCCGCTTTTCCTCCAGCAGTTTTGAGGGTCCCGAAGGTGCAAGAAATGAAATGTTTCTGTATATACGCAGGGTGGGGGGGCTGTTTGGTTTGGGTTTTAATTAGCAATTTACTAAAGTCCCCGCCGTACCGGGCGGAGGGGCTGGCGAGGCGGTACGGGACCTCGGGCGTGATTTCCCTCAGCCGGTGCCTGCCCCGGCGCCGGGTTGCGCAGCCCGCTGTCTCCGGCCGCGGCCGGGATCGGCGCTGCTTTCCTTAGCGGAAACGGTCGTTGAGGCTCCAGGCAGAGGCTCTTTGCAAACAGGAGCTCTTCGATCTGGCTTTCTTGGCTCTCCCGGGACAGTGAAATCATTGCAAATACCCCATTCCAAAAGGGCTCGGAAATGAACCAGCTCGATTTGAATGAGAGGCTTTTTCTCGCTCCTCTTCGCTTATTTTCTGACACTGACAGATACCCAGACAGGGGGGGTAAAACCAGGGGAAACGGGGGTAAAACCAGCAGAAAAAGAAGGGCTCAGCGAAAACGCTGCGCAGCCTGTTCTCTCCCAGCTCCTCTGGCCTGGCCCTGCTGTTTGTCTAGGTGGGTCTTATCATCTGGGGTTGTTTGTTTTAAAACTAAGTTTTAAAACAAGAAACACCGGAACTGGAGCTAATGGGGGCTTTTACACCTTTAAAAAATAATAGTAACAAAGGGAGCAATTGAAAATGTCCGTCAGAGTTTGTTAAAGCGTTGCAGAGAGGGAGGCGCAGTGCCCGGTCCCGATGCTGCCAGGCAGTGCCGGGCCTGGGCTTGAAGGTGCTGCGGGGCCAGAGCCCACTGCCCATCGCCCTGGCAGGCAGCCTGTCCTCGGCGTAGAGCAACGGCACACAACCAAAAAAGCTCCGGGAAGAGGCATGGCGGGTCCGCCCGTGCGCCCCGAGAATGAGCCCGGGGGAGGCTCCGTGTCCGGGTTTGATCCGGGTTGTTTTTACTGGGAGTGTTGCGAGTTTGGTTTTTCAACGGCTGCAAATCACCTTCCCGAAATGCCGCCCGCTGCTGCTCGCTTCGTTTCCTACTCGGGACAAGAAGTGCAGCAAACAAAACCGAAGCCGTAACGAGGGCAAATGAGAGGGCGAATCCCGCCAGAGAGCCGAGGGCCAGGCCCTGTCCCCGGAGTGTGCAGAGGGAGGTGAGGTTGCCCGATCCCATCCCTTAGCCCACCCCCGATCGCATTTTCCCCACAGCCCCGCGAAGGGATCGTGCCCTCCCTGAGCGTGGGACCCGCGCCCCCGGCTATAGCCTGGGGTCTCCAGGGGCCTGCGCAGACTGAGCAGCGGGGACTGCCCTGCGGGGGCGAACTGCCCTACCCGGGAGCCCCGGGCACCTTCGCTCTCTCATTTTGTTCCGTAAAGGTGCGTGGACAGGGAGCTCGACCGGGCTCTGACAACGAAGCGGAGCCGAGAGCGGGTTCGCTGGGGATCCCCATTGCCCTCTAGTCCCTGCCTGCCGCGGGGTGTGTTTGCCCTTCGGGCTGGGGAGGACTCCTGCTGGCCCCAGCGACCACAGTGCTGCTGTAACTGCTGCTTTAAAACGGGCACAGATCTGGGGGAGAAGTTGCAGAAGTGGGAACCTTCACATCGCCTGCAGGAGGTTCTAGAAATGCCCCTCGGGCTGCCTCCTCTGCCAGCGGCTCAGCATAGTGTGTCCGGAGACGGGGTAATGCCTTGCATCTGCCTCAAATCAGGTCAGCTGGAAAAAGGATGAGGAAACAGGGGAGGAAATTCTTTTCACTTGTGTCTCCCCATGACAAAGACTGTGGTGGTACTTGTTTACCCTTCTCCGGTGGGACACTTTGGGTGTCCAACATAAATGGTCCTGGAGGAGAGTAGGGCCCGGCTCGTCCTGTGGGATGCTGCCGAGGGCCAGGGGACACGGCAGCCTCACTCTCCACGCTGCCCGGGAGCATCTGTCTTTTTCTCCCATTCTGGCCAGCGGTTCCTGCGGCGTGGTCGAACATTGCAACCGGGCAGGAACCAGGGCAGCAGGAGGTGGGAGGACTCGGGAGGTTGTGGGGCTTCCGTTCACGGTGCTCCCGGTCAGGGAGGGTGCGAGTATCTGCATCAGCCCCTCAGGGCTCCCATTGCCCGTCATCTCAGTTCTGCTCTCTCTCCCCTCTGTGCCAGGCGCATGTTCCCCACCTTCCAGGTGAAGATATTCGGGATGGACCCTATGGCTGACTACATGCTCCTCATGGATTTCGTCCCTGTGGACGACAAGCGATACCGGTAAGTAGCAAGCTGCCCATTCCGTGGCTCTTAGCGCTATGGGAGCTGGAGGGTCGCTGCTCTTTTCCTGTACCCTCGGGGCTCGTGGATCCGCTTCTGGACCCGACACATGTCGGTGTGAGTTGAGGAGAAGACGTGGGATGTGGCTGCCCCGGGTCTGTTTCACACCATCACGAGTTTGGGACCTGGAGGGACTCGGATGCACTGGGAGACCCGTGGGGCCTCCTTGGCTTTCTCACAATGCCCGCGGCCGGACCGGGCAGGAACTGCCTTGTGTTTCTCAGAAAAGCCCTCCCAGTCCTGCTGCTCCCCGTCTCCATCCGGCAAAAGCCCCTTGCTCCCTAACGAATATTCCTCGGTGGTTCTCGAGTGCTGCAGCCTTTTGGCTGGGGCCGGTGGCTTGGCAGGGCTGTACAGTGCCTGCCAGGGAGCTCGCTGGGTGCTTGGGTGAAGAGAGTAGGGTTTGTGCAAAGGGCACGGGCCATCTGAACCACAAAACCCTGGCCCTTGTTTCCATCGTCAGTGTGGGAAGGCCTTGAAGCTGGCGACTCGCAGGGCAGCGATGGGGTCTGGTTTGGCACCCCTTTCATTTGAAGACAGTGAAAGGCGCATTATGTTTTTAGCTTCAGATCAGGACGCCGAGCAGGCAGCCGTGTAGGAATCGCAGGGTCCGATATATAAATATTTAGACAGATATCCAAATTCTCAGGGCGTTCTAGAAATGTTTGCTTGTCAAGGGAAGTGGGATATATAACATCCAATTGAGTATATCTTTAAAAAGTAATGTTTCTGCTCAAGTCCAATGGTGTCTAATTCCCCCTGTGCAAACACTGGCTTTTAAAGTAAACACGTGTATAGAAGATTGGTTTCTCTGTTTTAAATGTTACTGTTTAATATGTACTTTGAAAGAATGAAACAAGGCTGCTAAACTCTGGACCTGCTATTTATCTACACATAACTTTCCAGTCTTCACTTAAAGCCAGAATATTACTGTATAGAGGGCTCCCTTTCACCCTTTAAATTTTTTTTTTAGAGAAAGGGGGAGCTTTTGTGGCTTCTCTTCCAAATCTGTGCAGGTAGCTGTAAATTTCCTCCATCCTGCAGATTTTTCTCCTGCCAGTTCCACTAGCGACCTGCTAAACTATTAATTCTCCCGTCAACGACTCTGGCTGTGGAGAAGAGCTCACTCGCTGCTGTAGGACACAAAGGGACAGGGGGGACTGGAATGGGACCCCCCCACGGCCAGATCCTGCTCGACCGCGGCGTGCTGGGTGGGAGCCGCTGGATCGTTTCTGAGGGTGCTTTCTCCCCCCGGCAGGTACGCCTTCCACAGCTCCTCCTGGCTGGTGGCCGGCAAAGCCGACCCCGCCACCCCCGGGAGGGTGCACTACCACCCCGACTCCCCGGCGAAAGGAGCGCAGTGGATGAAGCAGATCGTTTCCTTCGATAAGCTCAAACTGACCAACAATTTGCTGGATGACAACGGGCATGTAAGTATTGCCGGGCGAGGTTGCACAGACGCCCCGTGCCGTGGTTCCCGTGGGGTGCCCCTGCCCGCACCCCCCACCCCCCGGGTAGGGTAGCCGGCGGGGCCGGGGACTGCACTCTCCTCTCTTCATACTCCGCCTGAATCAGTTATTGTCTCCTTGCTCGTTTTATCATTCAGATCATTTTGAACTCCATGCACAGATACCAGCCGCGTTTTCACGTGGTCTACGTGGACCCCCGGAAAGACAGCGAGAAATACGCGGAGGAGAACTTCAAAACCTTCGTCTTCGAGGAGACGCGCTTCACAGCCGTGACCGCCTACCAGAACCACCGAGTGAGGAGGCATCGGGGCTCGGGGCAACCGAAAACAGGGGTTGGGGTCGCCGCGGAGATACCGCTGGTGCAGGCGCGCCCTGCTCCGGGCTGAGGGAGTACGGCGGGGCGGGATTCCCGCCGCCTCCTCCCCGTCTGCTAAACCCTATTCGGATAGCCGGGGAGCTGAGCTGAGCTCTGCGTAGCTGCACACCGAGGAAGTGATGTGAGCTGCAGCCCCACGGCCAGCTCCCCCCCGCCAGAGGGGAGCTCATTACCCAAGGCTGGAGCTAGTTGGGAAACTACAGGCTTCCCGCTGCGAAATGTCACTCTCAATTTGTTAGGATAAATGTGCGATTTTACTTCTCTAAGCTCGTAGCGGTCAATTCCTCCCTAGAATACAATTACATGTTTAAAAAACGAAACGAAACAAAACAACCCACCCCCCCTAATTTGATGCGGATTTCTGGGCAGCAGTTAATCCAATTGCTTCTTTAAATCGCATCAGTGTAACGTAAAGAGCAGAAATCCCAGCCGCGAGAGAAAATACGGATCCAAAGCAGGGGCTTTTCAGTGCTGCTCTGAGCAGTATCGCTCCGCTCTGGGGCCACCGGTGGTGCCACCCTCTGCCGCGGCTCCTGCGCATCGTCCCGGGATCCCCCGGGGTCCCTGCCGGGGCCAGAGCACGGCTGTGCCTTTAAGGGGCTTCGGAGTCCCTCCCGGCTGGCATTTGCTGATGGCTCCGGACAGCTGCTCTTTCTCTCCTGCTTTCTATCAGTTTGACCTCTAAGGCTGGAACTGTCACTGAGGGGCTTAAAGTTTGTTTTTCAACCCATTCCGGAAACTCACAATCACTTACTTTATCCATGGATTTGCTTAAATATAGAAAAAGTCCTGCCTTCTCCAGTCGAATTAAATAAATACATAAGTATGATTTATCCAGTAATTTGTCTTAGCTGCTCCAGTGGTGACCCATATAATGCAGCATTTTCTTACAAGTGCATTTACACAGCCCTTGCAGCCAATGCAGCCGCCTCTCCCTTCACCTTGAACTCCTATTAAATAGTGTCCTAGCCAGCGTTTTCTAACAGAGGGAAAGCACATGCTTGTGCTCTCTGGCAAAGCATGTCCAGCTCCTAAACACAGCTCAGGAGCATGCTTGTTGTCTGACCAGGGGCCCCGTGTATGCCACTTTGAGACATTTCCCTGCTTCTCCCTACAGATCACACAGCTGAAGATCGCCAGCAACCCTTTCGCCAAGGGATTCAGAGACTGTGACCCTGAGGACTGGTAAGGCTTTGTCTTTATTGGCTGTCACTACACCCCACACTCAGCCCCAGTTCCACATGCACCTGCCCAGCTCACATCTGTATAAGGCTTGTGTGGAAGCTCAGGCGATGCAGTGCCTCATTTGCCAGCTGCAGCTCACAGCAGCAGCACTCCAAGTCTCATTCTGTTGCACCATTGGTATCACTTCTCCCTTTATTCTTCCAGGCCCAGGAATCACAGGCCAGGGGCCCTGCCTCTCATGAGTGCTTTTGCCAGATCCCGGAATCCAGTCTCTTCCCCGGCACACCAGAATGGGACAGAGAAAGGTGAGAGCCCGCAGTGGTCTGGCCAGCCTGACACCCGGGACCACAGCGCGTGCATGCTCGGGGCCAGCCCTGCTTACCATGCCGGTGTACTGCTGCCTGCAGCGGGCACAGCTACAGTGCTAATGAGCTTTGCAGCACCACCTACTTTATTTAACAAAAATAGCCACCTTCATAGCCTGATTCATTCGCCCTAAGTCTAAAAGACTCACAGCTGTTGTGTGTAAGCAGCTTTGCTGCTTTAAAACACACCACCCTCTTCCTTTAGTGTCTCTCTTTTGACTTTTTGGCAGCAAGCTCAGCTTTTCAGGCAGGGATACAGTGATGGCCACTGGCTCTCCTCACAATGCCCTTTTGATGTGCCCCAGCAGCACATTCAGGACCGACCCTTTCCCATTCAGGAGCTTCAGTCAGGTCGAACAGCACCTCTGCCCATTGACTCCTTTTCCATTACACAGAGCAAACAACTGCAGAGACAACCAAGGGCCTTTCTTCCAGCACACTCCAGGCCTGCAAAATAAAGGGAAGTCTGTATTTGTTTAGTGTTACACAATTGCAAAAATTTCAGGCGTGTACCAGCTTGTCAGTCAATTCAGCTCCATTTATCTCAGTCAGAAGGTCCTGTCCCACAAGCCCCGGTTCCTGCTGCATGCCGCTGCGCACTCCGCTCATTGCAAGCCTCGCTTTTAACGGTCGCGCACCGCTTTTCCGTGTATTGAAGCGAGCCGCTGCGCGGTGGCGCTGACGCTGTGTGCTCCCGCAGATGCTGCCGAGAGCCGGCGGGAGTTCGAGCGGGAGGCGGCCGGCGGGACGGCGCTGCACGCCGAGGCCGCGCACCAGCAGCTCATGTCCCGCGTGCTCAGCCCCGCGCTGCCGGGCGGCGGCGGCGGCCTGGTGCCCCTGGGCGGTGCGGGCGGCGGCCGGCCCAGCCCTCCCCACCACGAACTGCGCCTGGAGCCCGCCGCCTCGGAGCCGCTCCACCACCATCCCTACAAGTACCCGCCGGCGGCGGCCGCCGCCTACGACCACTACCTGGGGGCGAAGAGCCGGCCCGCGCCCTACCCCCTCCCCAGCATCCGCGGGCACAGCTACCATCACCACCATCATCATCACCACCACATGAACGCGGCGGCCGCGGCGGCGGCGGCTGCCAACATGTACTCCTCGTCCGGCGCGCCCGCCAGCTACGACTACGGGCCCAGATAACGGGGCCGCCGGCGGCGCGAGAGACTGGCAGCGGCCGCGCGTGCCGCGACCGTTACCGTCCTTTCCCCCCCTTCCCGCCTTTCCCTCTCTCCCCGCCTCACGAGTGAGCTGATAGGCCAGCCTGTCCTCATCGACACCCGCAGAGACCAATCGCAGGAAGCCGGCGCCGCCGTCCCGCTCCCCACCCGTCGGCGGGCCGCGAGGCGGTGTGTGGTGAGGGGCCGGGGCGGGCGGGGTGTTGCCCGCCGCGGTGTGACCCGCAGCTGCACTTTGATAAATGAAGCCATATGTCGTTCTGTATCTTCACCCTACCCCCGCGCCTCCGTTATGCGGTGCCCCCGAGCGCGCCGGGCACCGAGGACCGCTGGAAGCGGTGGGAGCACGGGGAGCAGCAGCGGTGAGGTAACTCGCCCCCGTCTCCCTCACCTGCCGGCTCTTTCGATGGAGGTTTGGTGTTGCCGCCAGTTTTGGCGGTGCCAAAAGTGTTTCCCAGCCCAGGGGGGTGTGTACGGTTAGCACCGGACAGGGAGGGCTGTGGGGCTGGCCGTGGGCACCGGGCTCCGCGGTAGGGTGTAATTCTGCACGGGTCGGTGTGAGTCTCGGCTGGTGGGGGATGCTTGGTCTCGTTTGCAGGAGGCTCAGGTGGTTCTGTGAGGACTGTCAGAGGAGGCACAGTTTAGCTTAAGGGAACACTTTGAATCTTCACTGTCAAAGCTAATTGCCCGCTTCTCCTCCAGTCCCGACCTGCCTGTGAGTTTTGGGGTTCTTTGGGGCGGCTTAACCACATCAGCATTTTCTGGAGCTGTTGAGCCCATGGCCAAGAGCATGCTGTGTACGTCTTCTGTTTTTTACAACAGTGGATGCTAAGGTTTAGAAACCAGCCTGGGGTGAGGGAATACTCAGAGTTTAGGCTGCGTATTCTCAGCAATAGTTTATGAACTGGCTGCCTCCCAAGCAGCCTCACAGTACTGCCTTTCTACATCCTTTCCCGAGCTCTTGATCTCCCATTGAGAGGTGCCTTTTAGAGGAACTAAAGGGTTTTTCCCCCCAAATGCCTCACCCTTTGTATTTGGCTGACCCAAACTGCAGTAGTCCCAAAGCACCTATTCTGCACCTACCTGCTTGCTGCATCTTCCCTCTTAAAGCTGGTAAGTACTTTTTTCTTTTTTCCCTTTAATATCTTCCTTCAGCAGTAGTCTTTCCGTATTGTTGAAAGGATGGGCCTGCTCATCACAGCTTCTCTGGTGATGTGTTTTGGACAGTTGGCTTCTGTTCTTTGTCAGATGCTCACTAAGTGGCAGTCCCTTTATGTTCAGAAAAGGTATTGAGCAGCCCCTCAGCTGTGTTGGAATACAGTATTATGAACACTTCTCATTCTTCCACTAGTCTATGACAAGGAGGGGGTTGTCTTTTTGAAAGTTCTCTATTCATCCATGTTTGTGCATTTCCACTATAAACCTTTTAAAACATAACCTTTCCCGTGAGCAGGTGGCAGTGTTAATAGCAATGTTTATTCTGTTTTGGGCAGTGGGCTTTGGGCTTCCAAAACTTTTTGGAAGGGTTTAAGAAGGGATACAGGCTAACATGAGTATTTTATGTATTTTTTTTTTCTGTTATAAAAACCCCATATATTTGGATCCGATGAAAAGACTTGTGCAAGAAATATGTATTTTATTTGACATTTGCAGTGAATTGTGAGATTCTTAGTGTCTGACTAAACCATAATTAATGTTCTCAGAAAGGTTGATGTAAAATAGCCTTGTGCTTATTATTAGTCAGTGGGAAATGGCTCTTGGATGTGCTCTGTTGCTTTGCCGCTGTTACTTCAGAGTTTTCAGTATGATTTGTTATCTGTAAACTGATTAGTGCCAAAGCTTTGGTCAAAAGTTTAATGAAGTTGTTATATTTATTATTTCTTTCAAAGATTATACAAACACTTTTTTTTTTGTTCTTGATAGCTGCAGTGTAGGAAAAAAGTGAAAGCAACCAAAGAATCATATCTGCAAACAGTGTAGATACATGTAGATACCTGTAGATATATGTAGATAATCTTATTTCATTTAAATTGAAAAGACATTGGACAGTGACATTTATAAATGTTTTTCCTCTTCTTTCTTTCTTTCTTTCATTTCTTGTTAGATTATTTTGGTATATTTGTCAGTTTGGCAGCTCTGAAGTCTAAACCTCCCTTACAAAATGATGTTATTTAAATAAGGAGGGATACTAAGCTGGCGTTGTGAAGTCCGAGCAAAGAGTGAATTTCCATTGGTGATTGCTTCCCCTCTTCCCTCTCCCTGGTTGCCAGAGCTGCCCATGGTTGTGATCTGTCATTGTGCCCCACTTGTCAGGGTTGGGGTCCCAGGTCAGAATGGATACCATACATTTGTGTTGGTAAATACTTGCTTTCTTTAAACATACACAGTGTGCTGCAAGAAGTGCAGAATGGTCACACACCTTTCCAAACATACTTCACTGCAAGAGACGAGAGGACTGCGTGACCCAGGACACCAGGACTAAACTGTGCTCTTACAGAAAGTGGCTCAAGGCCCTTGCCTTGACAGTAGGATTTTCAGTTTAGCTCTGTTAGGAAAGCACAGAACTTAACACTATGGCTATGGACCCTCAGGTTGTTCAGTCCTAGTCTGTTCTCTGTGCTATAGAACAACCACTGCAGAACTCCTGTGTCTGAATGAGAAGAAGATGCCATGCAGTGGTGTCAAAGCTTTAGTCTGGACTAAGAAAATGGTATTTCTAACCTTGCTTTTAGGACACCAACATGCAAGGTGCTTGTTGTTAAGCATGGTAGCAGTCAATTTCATGTCATGTTTTAGTACTTAAATCAAGCTTCCTCAGGGCTTTGACTGCTGTTTTCTCCTTGTATGGCCATGTCTGTCTCACTGGATGGAAAGCAAATAGGGTTGGTTTTGTATCGCAAAAAAAATCCAGTTCAAACAAACAAACACCCCCATATCACTGTGTATTGACCAGTAGAAACCTTTTGAAAACCACAGCAAATATGTAACTCTTTAATTTCATATTACCTGTCAGCCAGTCAGTCATGATATGTCATGTATAGGCCATGCCTTATCTATGTATTGCAGTTTTATTTGGAAAATGACTTTGTATAATTACATGGATGTTTAAGCTTCTCTCAGTACATGCTGTCACTAAGGTCCATGGTACACACTTGGAAAGAAAGCTGCAGCATTTCCAGACAATACTTCCACTTATGGTCACCTCAGGTCACATATAACACTGTGTATTTGAAAGCTGCTGGTAAAACACGCCCGAGCACAGAGGTTACAAGCACCCTTTGTCTCTTCCAAACAGGGCTAGAGAATAAATTAGCCATGTGGTTCCATTTTCCAGAAGCACAGGATGAATTTACTGATTGCTCCAAAGGTCTGAAAACCTCACCTCAGTGGATAAATACAGGATTAGGCACTCACAGGTGAAACAAGGCAGGTCTTTGCTTGATCACTTACCCTAAACACTGTGATAGCTCAGGTTTTCAGGAATGCTCTTTTGCTGCTGGTGGTTTTATTTTTCCCTTGCTGGTGGACCTGATTACTAGGTCAGGACATGTAGTATGTGTCTTCCACATGTAGGACAGGGGCTACGGGGGTGAGACTTCTGTATGCTTGTGGGTTCGTGTGCACCATTTACTCACTTCATGGATGTTCTTTATAATTTTTCCTCCTCTTCAGGGAGACACTAGAACTGCTTTGGGTGGGACAGTGAAGGTGATCCCCAGTAGATGCATCCTGGGGCGTTGGCATCTCTTGAGTCAACCTCAAGCATGCATATGCATGGCCATTGACAGGGGAGCAAGTACTCTGGCTTCCTTCGCGCTAGTCTGTTGTAACAGTAGCTTGCAGGGTGGAGAATGACCCAAAGTAATCAGTAAGCATAAAAAGGCGTTGTGCAGGCACCAGGTCACTGGGGTCTCCCAGGGTCTAGCAGCTTCCTAGTGCATCCCTGCAAAGAGCCATGGCTAGTGATGCTGCATGGCCCAGAGCCACCTCAGCTGGCACAGGGTCCTCCCCTTGCCAAATAGACTGAATCCTCTATAGCAAGAGGGTTTCATCTTGTGATGCCTGGATTGCTGGCCAAAGGATCTGTCGTGAGAGGAACAAGACAAGCTGGTTCACTCACGCTGTGCAACATTCTGCCGATGTAAAGGGATCCCTCTAACCACTGGAAACAAGTTAGGTGCCCACAGGTTAGGTCTGGGGGCAGAAGCTAAGCCCTGCTGCCTGGAGCAGCTCTGGGAGAGCCAACGCAGCAGTACTTGCAAAGCAGGTTTTGGCACCTTTGCCCAAGGAGTTAAAAAAGTTGCTGTGAGCCTGTTGAGCATGGCTGGAGTGGAGGGTGCAGGAAGGGTGTGAGTGTGCACATACATGTGCAGGTTCTTGTTGCTTTTCCTTCTGTTGTTCATTTTCATGATGGGTTGAAGACAAACCCGTTTATGCTGGCAGAGTGCTGAGCCGGTGGGTGCAATGGGCTGACCCGTCACTTGTGTAGCCGGGAGAGCTACACTCTGTGTAGCCGGGAGAGGCCGTGTCACCCCGGGGAGGGTGGAGTGGGTGGGCTTTGGGGGTACGCGGGTACCGCTGCACCCCGGCTCCAGCGGACGCGATGCTGCGCCTTCGGCGTGCCTGAAGAGCCGGCTCCCTCCAGAGGGAAGAGCTGCGCATCGCACGGGTTAGGTCGTGCACACACGGAAAGTGAACCCTTACGGAACTGTAGACAGTGCTTGCAAATACTCAATCTGAGAGAAAAAATAGAGATTTGTTTTATAAAACAAAGGTCTGATCTTTGAAGCACACAGGCGTGAACAGGGAAAGGCAGTAATCTGTGAGTTAGAATTTGAGGATAATCAGCCAGTGGTAATTCAGTTGTTGCTATAAACTGGTGTTCTGGAAGTGCAGACTGCTAGTGCAGAGGCATATATATGTATGTGTGTAGGTATGTAACTTTTTTCTAAATGTATCAGGTTTTTTCTTCACATAAGTATTCTGACTGACCTGATCAGTCAGATATTTAATTTACAGGAGTGTGTGAAGCAACCAGATGAAAGGGACTGCACCCAAAGGTTTCTATTACTGGCCATTACCATGAGCACTGTGTGTGTTTATCAAGTGTTCTTAAGTTAAACCAAAACATCCCCATTATCCGTGGGAATCTAGTAAGTGTATCAGAGGCTTTCTCATTTCCAAGAACATTGTTTCATTCTTTTTTCTTTTTTTTCCCCCTGCCCATTGTACACCTGATCAATGCAAAAAGCGAGGGCTGGTTTTAGAGATATACACTAAGTTTGAAAGGTGTGGAGATGTCCCATATACGCTGTGTATTTACGTGTATAAATCTGCTTTGCAAAGGTCTACCTCCCTTCAGGAAGTCTATGTAAAGTACTGTATGTGTTGCATATGCCAGAAAAATGCCCTTATTCCCCCCCATTAATAGAAATGACCTATTATAAATTTACCAAAGATACCATAGTTTCATAAATTGGCCGCATATGTTTGTGTAATGTATTTATTATATCACATTTCATAGCATTTTTGTTTTATGAAATTCAGCCTTGAATATGTCACATATGTTTTGCATATATGTGCAATACTTGGCCAAGTATATCTGAGTAAAGTATGATAAATGTGTTCTTTCCATATGGGAAATTAAATGTTTTTCCAGATTAAAAAAAAAAAAAAGTTTATGAAGAGCAGCCTATACAAAATAATTATAATAAATCACTCTTATTTAGGTTAAATTATAAATTTGAACTAGTAACAAAGTGATTAAGAACAAAAGCCAGAGAAGTCACATTTAGGATCTAATTCTTTAAAGAGATGGTGCAGTATGGAGGGGAATGGAGCACACACATTTTCCAGGCAAGCTGCTACATAGTGTAAAATCATGCAGACTTACACAGCAACTTCCGTCTCGTGTTCCTGGAGTGATTCTGCAGCTGATAAAGGATGGCCTCTCACCACCTCCAGGAGACAACAAACATTTTGTACAGTGTGCTTCACTGAGAAAGCAAGTGCCCCGGAACATCTGTGCTAGCCTGAGCTCCAGTTAGTGTTTTGTAACTCCTGGATGAACAGCTCCTGGTGGTCACTGGTTGATGGAGAAGGAAAACATATTTTCCTACATCCACATATACTCTCACTGTAGCTGGTTCTGGTAACTAAGCACTGGTAGCTTCACTGAGTAGGGCAGGACACCTCTGGTGCTAGTGCTGTGTTCTGTACCTGCCTGAAATAGGGGAATTGCCCAAGTGCCCACGTACTCAGACTGCAGTCCTAGGGCTGTACATGTGAATTGCAAAAGGAATGAACAACACATAAAGATGGAATGAACAACACATAAAACTTAGAGAAGCTCCTTCATGTGAGGTGTTTGTGCTATTAGTTTTCTCAGTGTTTTTAGCTTGGCTGATGGACAAGGGCTTTGTGTTTGCTCTTTTACTCTGCTTGCAAACAGTTCCCCTTCTCCCTTGGTGCTCCAGCCTGGCTGCTTCAGCTGCCTTTTTGGGGGGCTGAGCACCAAGGGTGGGCAGGGAGAGCTCACACTGAGTGAAGGGGTTGTGAGCAAAGCTGTTCCATTCCAATCATCTTAGCAGGGCAGAGGAGGGGTGCTGAGCAGGGAATCCAGCAGCCCTCCAACCCTGCTGATTTTATTTGAGCACTGCCTTACACATTTCTTTTATTTCAGCAAACATGAAGTGAGTCTTTCATTTTATTCCCTTTCCTGCCTGTTGTCAACTGCTTCAAACCAGATGGGCTCAAGAGATAAAACCATAAAGACTCAATGTCTCTATTTAGTGTGATGCCAAGTCTGCATGCCATCAAAATATTTGAGGCAAAAAAATCTGAAAACACAGTACTTAGCATAAGCCTTATGTTATATGCAAGCCTAGATGCTTTTGTGTGCACAGACAATGTATCCATGAATCACTGAGATTTTCTATCAGCATTTTTTAATTACCATCAAGACTCATGCCATGTCCACCTTCTCTGCCATGTTCAAAATTACTGTGTGAGCCCAATGCACCAACCTTCCTTCTACCTGTGTCAGAACATGTTTATAGCAAGTGGTGCCATAGGTGCCTGGAAAAT